AGTTTCTGTTTAAAAATCAGTTGAAGTGAACCCATATGTGGAAAGCGTGGACAGCAGATGTTTCTCTTCTGGCATTTCTTGCAAAATGATCTCAAAAGAGAATGTATTCTGTGAAGAGGAAGCTTGAGAAATGTCACGCATTTGGCAATGATAAAGGAAGGCAGTGGAGGATTACCTAATAAGCAAGGTAAGCGCGGGCTTATTTGTGCTTTTCTACTGACCTGTACTGAACAGTTTCACAGGGTTTCAAAGATGTGGTTAAAAAAGAACATGTGAACATGTGAAACTGTTTCACTACAGAATAGTAAATAAGCACAAGTAAGCCCATGCTTACCTTGCCCTTGGGCCAATCTGACATTGAAAGAAGTTAGACTTTCAGCTCCTTACTCTTCTTACATGAATTCAGCTTGTTATATTTTTGTTCTTTCCAGAAAGTGTTTCCTTTTCTAGTATGTTGGTTCTTCATGAGGCAAGAAGGTATTTTCTTGGGGTGAGCTGACAAAAACATTGTCCAGAGGTTCTTAGATACTCACCGTACTGCTGTACAAGAGGACATTAAAAAAAAAATTACCAAAAGGCAAGTGCCAAAAGCTAATTTTTGTGTATCTTGCAATCCTGCATGGAGGCTAAGCTATACACCCCCATAGACCCCAGAGTTATTATTTTAAAGAACACCATTCAGATGAGAACTCAAAAAGCTATTATAATATGACTTCTGATCTGGTACTTAAAAGGCTTCCATTAGACTGAAGGAATTATTACTTAAAAAGATAGTCTTCAGAAAGAATTTTCAACTCATTAAGTCATACTAGGTATCAGATTCAAACTTACAAAAGAATAAACTTTAAAAGGAAGGTGCTTTTCAAGTTAATATTTTATAATGATGTTTTATAATGATAATGTTTTAAATTTTATAATGGCTTTCATAATTAAAGGAATTTAATAAAGCCCATATACATATGTTTGAATAACCAAAGGAAAAACAAAAACAAAAAAACCCAGACCCACTGCCATCAAATCGATTCCAGCTCATAGTGACCCTATAGGACAGAGTAGAACTGCCCTATAGGGTTTCCAAGGCTGAAATCTTTGGAAGATTGCCTCATCTTTCTCCTGTGATGCAAAAAAGCCTTAAAAATGAAATGTGTAGAGAGAAATAGAAGGGCATGATCTAAGAAGAATATGAAAAGAACTTTTAATTGGTTTGTGTCCTCACACCTGTTATGATGGAGTCACTTCTGACTCATGTGTGTCAGAGTAGAGCTGCACTCTAGAGGCTTGGTTTTCAGTGACTGATCTCATGTAATGAGAGCACCAAGCCTTTCTTCTGTGGTGCCACTAGATAAATTTGAACCACCAACCTTTGGGTTAGTATTCAAGCACAAACCATGTTGCCACCCAGGGAGCTTGGTCCATGTATAATACTACATATTTTCCTCTACGGATAGGACACCTGAACTTCAGGCCACTCTGAAAATCTGTCAATGATTATGTTTCATCATCACTTTTCTTTGAAGATAGGATATGCTTCAAACCCAATTAGGCAAAAATTCCATTCTCTTCTGCCTGTAAGGGGTATGACATAACTACAGGGAGAACATTGTGAAATAGCTGTAGCCATCATGAACAAAGGAGCTCTGGTAGCATAGTGGCTAAAGCACTTGAATGCTAACCAGAAGGCTGGCGGTTCAAACCCACCAGCCACTCCTTGGAAGGAAGGTTGGGTAGTCCTCCTTCCATAGTGATGCTGCCTCAGAAACCCAAGGAGGGGTCGCTACGAGTCGGGGCTGACTCGACGGCACATAACAACAACAACAACATCATGAACAAATGAGAGTGAGAGGTGGTAGCATTTGGGTGTTCATTCCCCAAATACATTTCTGAAAATGAGATGAAGAATTTAATTAACCTGGAAGATGAATTACACAGGAATGGCAAATGAATCAGAGATACCAAATACCTCACTCAAAATTACCTTAATTACTTGTAATTGGTGTCTGATTTCAAGACAGACATGTCACAGAGAAAATGCAATCAATCTTGCATTGCAAAGTTGAAGTCAAGTCAGAGGCACAGTTGTAAAATCTGTGTGTGGCTAGGTTTCTGGGTTTGTATTTTCAGCTCCACACGTGCAGCACACTCTCTAGTTTCTGGGTCTCTGCCAGGAACACACCTGTGTATGCCCTACTTCCTCATCTCCAACCTTAGTCTCCAACATACACCTCCAACTTTTGTTCCGTTTTGACCTGTTTAGCTCTTCAGGAGCCCTGGTGGTATAGTAGTTAAGCCCTCAGCTGTTAACCAATAGGACAGAGATTTGTTCCTACCCAGCAGCTCTGAGGGAGAGAGAACTGGTGGTCTGCTGCTCCCTTATAGATTACGACAGGGACAGCACCTAACAACGGGGAGCTCACACTCATGCTTTAAGCCTCTGCTTAAACATCACCTCCTCAGGGAGCCCTTCCCAGAGACTCCTGGCCCAGGTTAGAGCCCTTGGCCCTAAAACCCCTTACCTGATGCCTCCCGTGTTGGAACCTTTACAGTGTGCTCTATCTGCTTGTTGAATGTCTGCCTTCCTCACTGGACTCGAAGCTCTATCCAGGCAGAATTTGTCTTGTTCTCTTTATATCTTTCACACCTATCCCTGCCCTACCTCACAGTAAGTGCCCTTAAGCATTGGTTGAACTGACTTGCCTCTCCAGGAAAAAACATTTCACTTGATGCCAATATTGCCCATCTGGCCAGGCCGTCCCGGTCCTTCTTTAACAATGCCCTTTTTTAATAAGCCTACTCACAGGAATGGCTTCTGGTTGGACTGCATGTGTTAACCTCTCTCTCTCTACAATCAGGAGTTCTCAAACTGATTCTGAGTTGAAGGTTCTCCCACAGACTCAAGCGCAGCCTGATTGCACAAGATGCCACACTGAGGACGGAAAGTTGTTTTATTAAGAAAATAAACGCCTTTTCTTACTTACCACCCATGGCACAAGATTGAGCAATATGGCTTAATGTAAATAGAAACCCTTATGGGACTTGGCATTTGCACTGTATTGTTGGGGTAAGCTAGAAGTCATGAAGGAGGCAGGCTTAGTTTGTCCTTTCAGAATCTGGTTTGTCAGGATGCCTGGTGCTGCAGTGTTTAAGGCACTCTGCTGCTGACTGAAAAGTCAGGGGTCTGAACTCACCAGCTGTTCTGTAGAAAAAAGAAGTGGTAATCTGCTTCCGTAAAGATTTACAGCCTTGGAAACTCAATGGGGCAGTTCTACTCTGTTCTTTATAGTCACTATAGCTCAAAATTGACTTGATGGCAACTGGTTTAGTTGGTTGTTAGTAGGCAGAAAAGATGATTCGGGAGGTAGCAAGGCCTGTATGTTGCTAGTTTTATCTCTGTCGATCCCTGCAATGGGACTCCACTACCCCTGGCGGCCCAACCCTTCAAGTAACTGGGCATCTCATAATTGCAGGAGTGATTATTGATCTATGACTGAAAGGAGGTGTGCAGGCTCTGCAGCCGGGCGGATCACAAGAAGGCACATTTCGGTCGCGCACATTGGTGGGTGGTTCTGGTTTCCTGATTGTTGCCTCTGAACAGGCCTGCTTCAGAGTCTTGGAGAAACTGATATAAATGTGTACAACAGTCTAACAGACTTGTTTTGCTTTAAGTAAACCTTGCTGCTATGACAGGAATGTTTGGTGATGTTTGCCTCAAAAATCACAATAATCTTCACAAGAATCCTTAAATTTTAATCTAGTAGTTATAGAGTGTCCTTGCCTTGTAAGCATTAATTTGCAGCTGAAATACCTAGTTGAACAATATCAAAAGTTTTTTTTCATAGCCAAACTCTCAGAATCTTTAGTATATTATAAACCAAAAAAAACCCACTACCATCGAGTCGACGGCAACTTATAGCTACCCCCATTGGGTTTCTGAGGCAGTTAAGGCTTTACAGAAGTAGATTGCTCTGTCTTCCTTCCTCAGGAAGCTGGTGGGTTTGAACCACCAACCTCTTGGTCACCAGTCAAATGCCCTAGGCATTGTGCCCCCAGAGCTCCTTTTGTATGATAATGAGCACTACAAATACCACCCAAGTCCCACCTCTGCCACCCTCTCAGGGGAAAGGAAAGGAGAGGCATTCCTTAAACTCACTGACATGCACTTTATTTTTGGTCACCCCCCAATCACTCCTTAGGAGTTCTTGAGTGGCACAAAAAGTTAAGTGCTCAACTACTACCTGAAAGATTGGCTGTTCAAATCTACCCACAGGCTCCTAGGAAGAAAGACCAGGCGATCTGCTTCCAAAAGGTCACAACCTTGAAAACTGGCTGGAGCAATTCTGCTCTGCACACTTGGGGTCGCCATGAGTCACAACATAGTGCCTAAGACACTTGACTGCTAACCAGAAGGCTGGCGGTTCAAACCCACCAGCCACTCGTCGGTAGGGAGGTTGGGCAATCTACTTCCATAGTGATACAGCCTCGGAAACCCAAGGAGGGGTCGCTATGAGTTGAGTCCCACTCGGTGGCACACAACGACAACGACAACAAGAACAACCCGTTTGCAAGGGAAACATCCAAACTCACTGCCGTTGAGTCGGATGCAACTCATAGCGACCCCTCCTTGGGTTTCCGAGGCAGAATCACTATGGAAGTAGATTGCCCAACCTTCCTTCTGAAGAGTGGCTGGTGAGTTTGAACCGCCAGCCTTTTAGTTAGCAGTCAAATGCCTTATGCACTACGCCACCAGAGCTCCTAAGGGAAACATACCTATCCTAATTATGTTGTATCCTCTCCTGCGCCACTAGAGGGAGCAACCCTATAACAAATGAGATCAGTGGGGTGTTGCTCAAACGCTAAAACCAGCATGCCTACTTGATAGCACATTTCAGATTTATTTAAAAAACACATAGAGCTTCGGCTAGGAATGATTTAGAAAGGAACTAAGGCAGTATTCCACAGAACCTTCACAGTTGTGTGCTAGAGACAGAGAGCAGGGACGTGCTTTAGAAGCATTTGCGGTGGACAATGGAGGGCCCGGCTTCGTCATACTCCTGTTTGCTGATCCACATCTGCTGGAAGGTGGACAGAGAGGCCAGGATGGAGCCGCCGATCCAGACAGAGTATTTGCGCTCTGGCGGGGCAATGATCTGTTGATCGGGAAGAGAAAGAGACGTCAGTTAGTGCTTTAGGACATAGGCCTGGTCTTCTACTCTGGCCCAAGTTTCCGGGGCTGGGTTGTAGTTCTATGGACACCAGAGACACCCTTGGCTGTTAAGTGCCAAAAAACAAGACAAGCACTTTGCTGCCAAGTCGATTTCAACTCATGGTGAGCCTATAGGACAGAGTAGAACTGCTCCATAGGGTTTCCAAGGCTGTAATCTTTACAGAAGCAGACTGCCTCATCTTCCCCTGTGGAGCAACTGGTAGGTTCCAGCAGCCCACCTTTCAGTTAGCAGCTGAGTGTCTAATCACTGCACCACCAGGGCTCCTTGTTAGATGCCAAGGGGGTTTGAATAAGCTGTGGATTTAGAGATTCTTCAACAATCAAACTCCTGCACGCAATCTTTTCAAAGCATCCGTAACACCTCTACACATTATTAGGCAAATTGAAAATTGGCCCCAAATCCCGTGGTGACCGCTGTTTAAGAGCCCTGACGATGCCTCTGATTTCTATATGCTGCACCTCTCAACTCAGTAGGACATGTCCAGCATCTTCAAAGGAGACATTTTAATTCGTGCCGGAAGTGTTCTTTCCCCTGATTAAGTCAACTCTTGCTCTCTGAAGGTTCACTGAGATGCACTCTTTACTATCAAGGGGCTCATGGTCCCCTGTTGGATGATCATGCCTCTGGGATAGGTCCCAGTTGAGCATACTGGCAGGCTTACTCACAGTGCAGCCTGTTGTGTAAGAGAATCAAATGTTTCTTAAATGACTGAGTGGTTGGGCACAGAGATAGCATGGCTGCTATGGTAGCCAGAGCTTGCCATCAGGCCAGGATCTTGCCCACGTGCAGCATCTAAAACAACTAGAGTTGAGGAATTCTAGATGTCACTCCATTCTTGGAACCTTGGGTAGAAATGAATATGGACACTTTGGGCCAATAGGCAAGGTGTTTCTGAAACCACAGTTAAAGCTTTCAATTTCTTCTTATCCCCCAAACTCTGATTGATCATTTGTTTTTAGTGAAGAGAGTTAACATTTACTGAGCACTTACTATGTGCCAGCCACTATGATGAACATTTCATATGTATTGTCTTATTTAATTCTCACAACCACCTTGAAAAGCAAGTCTTAAGTTACTTCCATTTTGCATATGAAGAAATGGAGGCTGAAAAAGTTTTAACTAACTTGCCCAGGTCATACTGGTTATAAGTATTAGTAAGTGTCAGACCCAATATTCAGCCCCAGGTCTGTCCTAGGTGTTTTGTTTGTTTGCTCATTTTCAGTAATTTTAGACTGACAGAAAAGCTGCAAAGATAATACAGAGAGTTCCTGTAGCCCCTTACTCAATATTGGTTTCCTCTAATGTTACCCATTAGGCACTCCTCGGAAGGAAGATGAGGCAATCTGCCACTGCAGTGATACTGTCTCAGAAACCCAAGGAGGGGTCGCTATGAGTCGGGTCCAACTCGACGGCACATAACAACAACAACAAAGTTTTTCTCAACCTAGCTTGGCTCTTTCAGTAAGCTTAGTGGCTCGTTTCGTCTCTGTTACTCTGCTGTAGAAACACAGGGAGGTAAGAACTGATTGTAAGGGTGTGAGAGAAGCACAGGCCATTCAGGAAACGCCTCTCACTCTGCAGTCTTTCAGGTGGCACTCCCCAGAGCCTACAGTCAGGAGAGCGCGTCTTTCAGTCTAGCACACTCTCTTGTAATTATGTTAACTTCACACTCCTTCCAAAAAGAGAAGGGAGTGCAAATAACAGAGAACTTGCTTGAATTCTTCTTGTGTGTGTGAATGCCCTACCATTGCCCCTTCTCTTGCTCTCAGTGGCATGGGTCAAATAGTCCGAGGGTGGCCTTCAAGTTATCGCAGTACTAGCCTTTAACAAGTCATCAGCCGTATGTACAGGTTGCCTCCAAGGAATGATCTACATTTAATCTGAGCTCCTTTCACTGAGAGCCAAAACCCTCACAATACATGGGTCCTCGTGGCTCAGGGGTAGAGCTGGGTCACCCTGGAGTCAGTCTGTGGTTTTGAGCACCTATTATCAAAAGGTATGCCAGACAGAGAGATGCAGATAGGATTCTAATTCCTAGCTGTTGAGGTGTGGTCGCATTTAGTAGTAGAAAAAGAATATAAGCTACTATATCTGCACGGTTTAAACCGCTTCAGAAATGTCTGACTCGTCTTTGATTTAAAAATTTTATACATGCAAGATGCCTTATATTCGTCATGAGGAAAAACAATACGCTATGTTTTAAAATGGTGTGAGCCTTATTGCAGCAGCTCAGGGACAAGGCTGCACACAGATTATACAGAAGTGTTCCACTTCTCTTGTGAAACGGGTTCACTTCTAAATATGATTTTACCCACCACCTAACCCTAGAACCCATGAGCTCATGAGAAGAAAACGTGGCCACTAGAGTCTTTCATGTCTGTTGAGAGGCCTGGCACCACTGGCAGCCTGACGTGGGGCCTGAGCTGTGTGTACCTTGATCTTCATGGTGCTCGGCGCTAGGGCCGTGATCTCCTTCTGCATCCGGTCGGCAATGCCTGGGTACATGGTGGTGCCCCCTGAGAGGACATTGTTAGCATAGAGGTCCTTCCGGATGTCGATGTCACACTTCATGATACTGTTGTAGGTGGTTTCATGGATGCCAGCAGACTCCATCCCTGGAAAAGAGACACAGGCCATGGTCTTTGGGAGGAGATAAACCCAGATTAGTTATGGAAGGCCAGACTTGAACAACTGGGTGATCTTACCCTGGTCTGAAGCTGTAATTATTGCTGTGTGCTACTGTGTGTTTTGATTTCAAGTCACAGTGATGCTATAGGATAGGGTAGAACTGCCCCATAGGGTTTCCTTGGCTGTGATCTTTATGGGAGTAGATTGCCAAGTCTTTTCTCCCATGGAGCCAATGATGGGTTGGAACTGCAGCCAAGCAGTTAACCACTATGTCACCAGGGCTAAACTAGGCCGGCACAATAATCCAAGAACCACCCATCTTAAGGCCCCGCTGCCCTCCACGTCTTGTCTAACAAGAAAGCCATGCAGCATCTCCATGCATGGGCAAAAACTTAATACCATGACTTGCAATAGACTTACTGCTATGAATGGTTCAAATAAGGGGCAACACCTTCAGTCTCCCTGCAGAAGGGCCTATGCTGAGCCAGGGCCACGACCATTGCTCTCCAAGCCTCCAAGCCTGCCGTGCACTCACCTCACAGAGCTAAATGGTGCTGCACCATCAGCTAAGTGTTTCATCCTAATGGACGGATTCATCTTTCTTCAAATCTAACAATATTTATTTGTCTAAACTTATAAAAATATTTGACATAGTTCTTTTGAAAAAAAACCTCTAGGTGGCCCTTCACCTTCTGTAGGGCTGGGATGTAATAATAATAATAATAATAAACCAATTGCCTTCAAGTCAGTTCTAATTCATGGCTACCCCATGAGTGTCAAAGTAGACTGAATTCCATAGGGCTTTCAATGGCTCATTTTTTTCAGAAGTCGATCATCAGACCTTTCTTCTGAGATACCTCTGGATGGGCTTGAACCGGCAACCTTTCGGTTAGCAGCTGAGCACACTAACCGTTTGCACCACCCAGAGACTCCAATAGTAGTAATTTATAATTATTAATTATATTAATTACTGACAATATCTAATAATTATGGAGCACTTATGGTCTCCAGGCACAGGATAAACCTTCTGCATAAAGCTCATGTGATTCTCACAGCCATCCTATGACACAGGTGTTGTTATAATCCCTGTTTTATAGATGAGGAGACTGAGGCTTGAGGAGGGTGAGTGACTTTCCCAAGATCAGAAAAACAGAACGTGGGAGAACTACAATTCCCACCCAGTCTTACTCTTCCCAGAGACTGCTCTCTGTAAATAACTCTGCTACCCTGTGTCCCAAAGTCCATACTGATAAGGTCACAGGCTCAGGCTCACGTTGGGTTCTCTTTCATTTCTCTACCTCTGCCACCCGAAACTCTCAGCAATGTCCCCTACCTCCACTTATCCCACTGGCTCCACTGAGTCCTGGTTGTTGTTGTTATGTGCCCTCGAGTCGGACCCGACTCATAGCGACCCCTTCTTGGGTTTCCCAGGCAGTATCACTACAGAAGTAGATTGCCTGACCTTCCTTCAGAGGAGTGGCTGGTGGGTTTGAACCGCCAGCCTTCTAGTTAGCAGTAAAGTGTCTTAGGCACTAAGCCACCAGAACTCCTCCACTGTGTCCTAAGCACAGACAATGTTCAATTCTTTCACCATACATCAAGAATGTTATTGGCTTGACTACAACACAGATCATTAGCATTTTCCAGTAAAGAACCTCTCCTTCAGACCTTCTTAAATGCTCCCACCTTAAAAATATGACACTCCCTTGCTCTGGCTTAGAAATGCTTTGGGTCTGTGGCCACTCTCGCATGCCTTATGTGCAGGATATCTCTGGTGGTCAAAGGCTCGCTCAATATGGAAGAAAAGGGAAACCTCCTCTTTCCAAGGCAGGGATGTTTGTTGCCTACCGATGAAGGATGGCTGGAACAGAGTCTCTGGGCAACGGAAGCGTTCGTTCCCGATGGTGATCACCTGCCCATCAGGCAGCTCATAGCTCTTCTCCAGAGAGGATGAGGATGCAGCAGTGGCCATCTCGTTTTCAAAGTCCAGAGCTACGTAGCACAGTTTCTCCTTGATGTCCCGGACAATCTCACGCTCAGCTGTCAATGAGATGCAAACATTATGGCAAAGAGCAGAATTTGCACCGGAGGTAAAGATTCATCTGCCTTGCTTCACTCTCTCCCACAAGATGTGTCTCTTCAAAGACATATGTAAGTTCAATATTCTGTAATCCAAAACCCATGACAGTAATGAAATTATAGGTCAACTAGGAAACCACATCTCTTCCCAGTAAAGTGCCACCAACATAGTAGGCACTTAATAAATATTGTCTGGAAAATGTATAACAGGAATAAAATGAGCTAGCCCAAAGGCTAGCTTAGTAGTCTATAGTAGTGGTATGGGAAACTTTTTTTAAAGAATTGAAATATAATTTATGTACAGTGAAATACACAAAACTAAAGTGACATGGGTCAATGCATTTTCTTTTTGCAAGTGTGGGAAATGTTTTTGAGCAATAACTATTTTGCAGGATAAATAATCACCCTCTGTTATAATTGCTTTATAATAGTTTGTTATATTGGATTTTCAGCCTTATGATGACTCAGGCCCTCAAGATTCATGCTACCTCCTACAGGCAAGTTCTAGTTCAAACCCTTGGCACATTCATCACCTTCCAAGACCAGTCCTAGTCCAGAAGGTTCCAATGATGTGTATTGGAGAAATGGAACAAGTGGGCATGCAGATGCCTTTTGGACTCCTGTGATCTCAAGTTCTAAACTACTAGTTACATCTAGGTCCTGGGAACCTTTTAGAAGTGTCTCGGGATTTTTTGTAAGAAGTAGAAAAGGGATGGAATTAATTAACTCCCTACCCCAAAAGATGTTAATACCTTCAGAGTTCAAAAATGGAGTCTAGAGTAAGTGTCAGGCATGTGCAGAAACCTAAACATTTCAATAGTGACAAAATAGTGAAGAGAGGGCATACAGTTAGAACAACATAATATCTGGCACTGTTCTTTTGTGGAAGTAGAGTTGGTGGCACCCACTTAGATTCAAGACATTTATTTCTGCTTCAGAAAGATCACAGCCTTAAAAATCCTATGGAGTACAATTCTATTCTGCAACACGTGAGGCTGCCTTGAGTTGGAATCAACTCCATGCAACTGGTTTTT